ACCCTAGAACCAAATCCTGATAAGTGAGTATGTATCCAGACCTAACTACAGGAACCAGGATAATGGAAAGGAACCTGGGAGGTAAAGGAAAAGAAAGAACCTGAAAGAGAAGAACAGTAGGAAACAGGCCTTAATAAGGGAGATACAGATAAAAATTGGGTTAGTTTAAGGAAGGGGGGAGGGAAGGGTATACAAGGAACCTAGGGGATAAAGGGAAAGAAGGAGCTCAAGAGAGGCAGGACCATAGGAGAAGGGTATTAGTAAGGGAGAAAGGGGGAAATGGGGGCACCTTAAGTGGGAAAACCATGATGGAGGGGTGAGACAACGTGAGAGATAAACAATGCCTAGCTAGAATTGAAAACAAGAGGGAACCATATTACTCCTACTGACAAATTATACATAGCAGATCAAGAAATATACGTCTAGGTAAGGTTTATCTGAGAACAACTGGTCTTTTCCCAAGATTTGTCTACATGACACACAGTAATTAAAAATATCAGATTGGTGGAACTAACCTTCTTGGATGTTTAACAGACATACTTTGAGGCCTATAATAATTTGGTCAGAGGGACATAAAGGACAGTTTTTGCTCCTTGCCCTCCTAGGTCGACTAGTTCCAGGGGACTATGAGCATCTCTCAAAATGTCCTATAATGGTGGTCGGTCAGCTGTCCTCTTGATCAAGGAGGCCGAGGAGACCCCACCAGATGGACTTGAATCAGTGTCCAGTCTATAAAGAGGAGGGTCAACACAGAGGAATCATTTCCTCCATGCTTCCAAGCGAAGCCAACCATGGTTGAGCAGGACTTTTGATTTATGTTCACATAGGTGTAACTGGTAAAAGAAAGGAGCCAGGGGCTCCTCCCAAGCCCATGAGACCCCTGAGGAACAGATCCTCAAACGACCTTAAGTGTAAAAATAAATCGGTTTATCTGGACCTACTGTATGGCCTTAAACACTCAGGGGCCAATATAATTTCATAAGAGTCCATATGTATAGCTAAAGGCTACATAACAAGCAACAATGCCAGATAGGAGATACTTTCTTTTGAGTTGTTGGCCAGGGTGGCTAAAGGGACTCCCAGATAGTAACCCAGCATAGAATTGGGAAAATGAACAGCAGACCCCAATCTTATCCAAAGGAATATTGACAAATGATTACCTCTAGATGAAGAAGAGCTGACCCTCCTAAAACAAAGACCTCTAGATAGACTGACTAGATTCACCAGAAGGGCAAGTAGTGGGGAATGGCTGGGGGTGCTGACAACGCAGCAGACAGTAGCAGGGGTATCAGAGTATAAGGGCTCTAGTGGGGGAGGCAGGCTATGGGAGGGAGCTATCTGGGAAGTGGGTTTTAAAAAAATGTATTATAAAACTGCCTCTTTTAAATCAATGCAGAAAGAGATTATACCAACTAGATGCACAGATGCATAGATGTTAGAAAAGGCAAATTCGTAATTTCAAAATATAAAAACATATTTTGTATTTAAAAAATTTTCATTGTATGTATGCACAGTACATGGTATGTGTTATATAAGGACATTTTCATTCAGGTGTCCATACTGTGTGTTGAACGTATCCCCCTATGCTACCCTCTTCTTCCTTTCTTAGCCTTTCCTACTCCAGGTAGCTTCCTTTGTTCCACTAGACAGTTTCAATTCTATTTTCAAGTCACATGTACATGAATGCTTTTTAAAAAAGTTTTATTTCATATGTATGTGCGTATTGCCTGAATATAAGTGCATCCGTGTTGTGCAATGCCCGCGGAGGGCAGAAGAGGCTGTCAGATTCCCCTGGGACTGGAGCTACGGACCGTTATTAGCTGCTATGTGGATGCTGGGATTCGAACCTGGGTCTTCTGCAAGAACAACCAGTGTTCTTAACCACTGAGCCATCTCTCCAGCCCCATACATTAATGATTTTATCTCTCTATAAAATCTAGAAACCATAAGAGAAAACATGTAACTGTCTTTCTGAGACTGGCTTAGTTCACTTAATATGATTATCTCTAGTTGCATGCATTTTTTTTTTTCCTGCAAATGACATAATGTTATTTTTCTTTATGGTTAAAATAGTCCACTGAGTATATATATCACAGTTTCCTTATCCACTTCTATGCTGAGGGATACCTAGGTTGGTTCCATAACTTAGCTATTGTGAATAGTGCTACAACAAACATTGGTAGGCAGTAAGCGTGTCTGTGACAGGCTGACTTGGGAGTCCTTTGGGTACATGCCCAGGAGTAGTAGAGCTGGGGCATGTGGTGGGTCTGTTCTTCCATTTTCTGAGGACTTCCCACATTGATTGCCATGGTGCCTGACTTAATTCATACTATCACTGCCATCAAAATTGTATCATTTGTTTATGCTTTAAAGAACTTAGATAATTTATTTACATCCATTATGCACACTAGTACTGATAAGCTAAAATCTAGAAAATAATTCTCAGCAAATGTAATGTTTTCTGATGACTTCTGGCACAATGTTTGTGATTTATAACTCTCGCCAGAGGAAAGGAACTTACCTGCTTTTATTCATAAAGTCAGCTCCCCGTGCTTTGTAATAATCTAGGTTGGGATGGAACTGGTAAGTCACTGGCCTTGGATTTTTCTAAAGAAAAAAAATGGAATAAATTAAAATGTATAAGGACAGAAATAACCACTACATTCCACACACACACACGTTTATATAAGTGTAGCAACTATTGTGTTTGAATTTTGCTTTCATTGGTTAACTTCTTTCTTACCTATCAAAACTGAAAAGTTTAAATATATTTTATTTCAACCATCGCTCTAGTTCAAATAGATTATTTTCTTTAGAATTGTTTTTGATGATTTCAGTTACTTTGAAATATAATTTTCTAAAATATGAGGAAAAAAGTAACCAAACTGAAAAATTAGATGAACTGCAATACAAGCATGAACTATCACAAAGGCTGAGAGGCACAGGTGTCAGAAAGCTGCATTTGCAGCAGTAAATCACCATGAATTTTTGACAGCCAGGATGCTAAGGAAGTCCACTAGATGGCACAGTGAGTCCTTCCTGCAAAATGACTTATCTCAGAATATAGCAATTCTTTTCAAGTTAGCAATTTTTATGTCATCTATTCTTATTTATGAGTTTAATAAGTGCCCAAAATATGGCAGACAGTGAAAATATCAGAAAGATAACCATTAAATTGACCAATGCACATTTCCATAAAAGCAGCAACAACTGCCCTTTCTGGCATTTAATATTATTTATAACATTACAGAAATGTCCTTGAATCATTTAGTTGGGTGTCTATTTAAATTTGTAGCTACTGTCTGTGTTAATTATTTAAATGTACCAAGCTCATGATAGGCAAACAAGAATTAAAATATATTTAGACTTTATAAAATCTTAACATATTTAATTTAAATGTACATCATGATCTCTAAAATATTAAATTCCATATTATTTCCATTAAAAAGTCATAAAATTATGAATAATTGTGTTCTAATATCTACCTGGGCATGTAATTCAGGTAGCAACTAGGTTTCTGAACTAGACTCTGCATTGTTCTTTGAAAGATTGATCTAGACACAGAAAGGCTGAAATTTACTTTAATAGAAAATTACCAATATGCTTAGATATCAACCCTAGGAGACATAATCTCAAAGCACTGATATGCCTGCATGCAGGCGTGGAGAGGAGAGAGGGAATATAATTGCTAAGGTTAAATAGTTTGAAATTCATCAAGCTAACAAGCTGCATCTTAATGGCCATGATGGACCTTTTCTTTTTCTGCTGAAAAGAGAGTATTTACACAGCTCAACCCTTTCATATCTCTTCCAAGCCAGCCCTAATCATCTGACAAAATGACAATCCCTTGATTTAGCTCTAGCTACTACTCCACTGGTTTGGTATTCAACACAGTTCCATAATAATCAAATCTGAATTGCCTTGATGAAGATCGCTGATGCTTCCATGACTACCATACTATTAAGTCTAGCAGTGCAACTCTTCTCTCTCTAGGAATTATATAGGTTTCCTCGTGGGAGCTGATGACAACCTGAACCCAAGTACAATAGAAAAATAAAATAGAGGGTGAAGCCACTGGCAGATTGACAGTATATTCACAATTGATTTTAAAAAATTAACTTCCACAAAACTATCATTCAAGATTGATTCCACTCTTTATCCTCAGTACCTGGAAATGCATTTTGTTTTTGGTAATACAAAAGGCTTTTCTTCTCTGACTTCCAACAAACTAATAAAGGATAATCTACTTTTTCTAAGAAAATAATGAAAGAGTGATCCCATGGAGCAGTTTCCTGAAACATCTTTATAAAGAAATGACAAGCAATTCAAGACATGAAGTGCTGATCTATCTAAGCATTTAAAACCATTATGAGGAATAATGATCTGACTTGAACATATGAATGAGGCTCAAGTATTGCTTTCACTGAGACCTATTTAAATTCCTAGGAGACTTGCTGGTATCAAGGAGATAGTTTAAAGTACTGTTACACTGGGAACAAGAGAAAGAACCAAAAGATGATACTGATGCTGAATAACAGTATATGAAATACTAAGAAAATAAAATTGGAGTTACTGTTGAACCTTATTCAGAAGTGTTTTCTGTTAAGATAGTGTATTTCTAAAACATAAACTACACAAACATAGATAAATCTAGATCATCACTACAAGAGAAATACAATGTAGGCCACTAGCGCAAAACTTCATTTATACTTAAAATTTATCTAGTAGGCACATTTGAACACACACACACACACACACACACACACACGAGAAACAAGTAAAATTAAATGTAATCATGGAAAAATTTATAAATGAGATACTTTACATTTTTTCCTTTGTGGAAAGTCTTTGAAATCTAGTCTGTATCTCATACTTACAGCATGCCTCTATTGAGACTAGGCACACTTTAAATGCTGAATGAATGTGTGGCTTGTGGCTTGTGGCTACCGCACTGGGCGGCAGCACCGGACAAACATATCTGTAAACCACTGCTTGGCTTTAAAAACATCAGCACATGGCCATCAGCAGTAAGAACAGCATGGGTACTTTTATACACAGAGTCATTGCTGACAGTTTTCTAATTTCGCTATAATTTTTTCTTTGAAAGGTAAATGTTAGTTTACCTACTCTTAATAAGGTTTTTAAAAGTCAGGAAATTTTGGGATATGTTCTCATAAACACAAACAAAAAAACTAAATTAAAACTAAATAACTGGAGATGGCTCAGTGGTTAAGAGCACTGGCTGCTCTTACAGAAGACCTGGGTTTGGTTCCCAGCTCCCACAAGGCAGCTAAAGAAAATTAAATGACTGGTCCCAATCACAGTTAAGAATGCATACAGAAATGCATACATATAGGACTCTGTATCAAAGTGAAAACAATCCTTTCCTGAAGCGAATGTGATTAGCTGTCAGTGTGGTGGTGCATGCCTTTAATCCTAGCACTTGGAAGGCAGAGGCAGGTGGATCTCTGTTAGATTGAGGCCAATCTGGTCTACACAGCAAGTTCCAGACCAGCTGGGACTATAGGGAGACCCTGGCTCACCCCTATCCCCCAAAAGAGAAATGAACAGAGTGCTAACTTTATGAATTGGAACATTTTAAATGTGAAAAGACATTTGATTTTCTTATTTTAAATGATTTTTCCAAAATATAGTGCATAGAAATATAATTGTTTTTCTTTATAATCTAAAATACGCATCACTCAAATTTAACATATGCAAAACTTTTTATGAGTAAAGACCAGACCCCATGAGAGTTGTAATTTCTCATTGTGCAGAGTGTATTGACACCTTTAATACCATGTCTTTTTAAACCCATTTTCAGAGTCAGAATATCTATTATAAGCATTTTCACATCAATGTAAATTAAACAACACACACACACACACACACACACACACACACACACACAGCTTTTGGCTAGAAGATTTCCTTTGGATGAAAGATAGCAAAATGTTAAACCCATCTTACTGAACTCATCTTTGTCTGTCTAGAGGAGCGTGTTAATTTCATTCTATGACTTGGGAATTCTATATTACTATACAAAAGGATAATAGAAATCACAAGTTCAACACAATCTGGGTTAATCATGCTTTTCCTAAACCAACAAAGTTGGGAATGAATTAAGTCTTTTACAAAGATTTCAGGCCAGGTGAGGTGATGCATGCTTTTAACTCTAGCACAGGAGGCAGAAGCAGGTATATCTCTGGGATCTAGCAAGTTCCATGCCTGCTGGGGCTATAAAGGAGACTGCCTCAGAAAACCAAAACAAACAAACAAAAAACCCAGAAAACAAAACAAAACGAAACAACAAAAACCCACAAAACAAAAACAAACCATCAAAGATTTTAGAAACTTCTTTTTGGAAAAAAAAAATAAATAAATAAAAATCACTGATTCGTCCCTGCTGAAGTTGTTAAAGCTCTTTTTAAAGTTTTATCTTTAGCATTTACTTTATGCCAATAAAAGGAGAATCCTGACTCCTCCTCTCCACCCCATGGAATGGACAGGCTAGAGTTTTGGGAGTCATATTAAAATCTTGCAGACAAAGTGACTTACAGGAGCAACATTAATAGTGGTAGGCATGAGCCCGGGAACTGCGTGGGAAACAGAAGCAAAGTGAAGCCATGCTGTGGGCTTCGAGCTTTCTAAAAGGCTTTCTTTTTTTAAAATCACAAAATAACTTCCAAAAAGGCTTAATTATAGGAACCAATTTAAGAGATAAAACTAAAGTCTATCTAATCTCTGTTTAGTCAACTTTCTTCACTTCTGAGGTCTTCCTTGTATGAGAGTAACCTGGTTCCTAATAAAATTTAAGGCAAGGCAAACACTGTCTCAGAATGAATAGGTCTTTGAATGCTGAGCAGTCTACGCCTCAGTTTTCTCAGTGAGTGAAATCTCTAAGCTACTGTGCACCACCCCTCCTGCTGTTTGCTCTACCCCAAAGCAACACTTTAATACTTGTAGTTCAAACTGAACCTCATTACAGTAGTATAAAAATATTTAAATGCTAGTTCAAACTAAGAATAACTAACTCCAAGATACTGCAAGGAGTACAATGAACTACTAGATGATACATAGCAATTTTCCTTGCTCTGAGCCTTCGAAAAATCAGACTTGTTCAAAAACATCTGTACTGTCTGTCTTGATCCCTCTCATTCGTGCCCCTCATTTGAAGATATCTCCTGAATCATTATTGCAACTCCAGAAGAAAGGAGTCTGAAGTGCTCATTCCCCTTTGAACAGCCATAAACTCTTTCAAAGGACTGGGTTGGCTCTTTTACACAGGCAATGTGGAAACGAGAAGAGCAAAGGAAAAGTAATTTCACGGCTACTGGCACTAATGAGCCAATGCGGTGGTAGGAGCTCAGGCTACTCAAAGTTCCATGCTGAAGGCAAAAGCACCAGAGCAGATGCAACAGCACTCACCTGCTTCAGAGGTACAGGGTGCCAGGGAAAGCAAGGGACCAGGGATCAGTGAGGCATGTACTCAGACTCCTGTCTACCTATTAGCAGTTGACAAACTATGAGGGGCACTCTTGGTCTAATCTCACCGGGCCTGCAAAACTGGAGCAGATTCAATGACACAATGAAAATAATGGCGGAGT